GGACGGAAAACTCTCCAAGCTGGAAGTGCTCAGCCACATGACCTATACCGAGGTCTTGATAGCCTTGGACGCTGACGGTACGAATAAAAGATAGCCTGGAATCCGTCCCTACAAGCTTTTTGCTGGTTCTAGTAGCGGCGGGGACTACTAGACGGGAACCGGCAAATAGCTCGTAGGGACGGATTCCAGACTAAAAAGAGAGATACGAGTGTATCCAGAACCGTTTCTGTCTAGTTCTATATGGAATACAGCTAGGATCAGATATATAACGTTCTTGAGATTGAAGCTGGATAGTCTCCACGGATCCAAGAACGTCGTGAGAACGTAAATTTGCCCTTAGACACGACTTTGGATATGAATCAACTATCCAGAGCCGAAACTTGTGATTTTCAATCATACTAGCACTTGATGTTTTAGTAATAAGATGTTTTAAAAGTTACATTTTATGTCCTTTTCTTTTTATATACTATGTCCAATAGTCGTTGCCATACACTGTACCATGTACAATTGCCGTACGATAAAGTTGGGGTCGTGTACCACAACGGTAGAGTGCTCGACTCGGTAGATCTGAGTTATATCCTGGTTAAATAAATAAACTTGAAACTTGAACCAAGAGGTCCCGGGTTCGAGTCCTGCCGTGCCACCTATCTTGTGCCCTTGGGAAAGGCACTTTACACGACTTTCCCCACTTAACTCAAGTGAACATGAGTATTGTCAGTCCTGTATTTGTGTCTATGTGGTAAGGACACAACACCAGCAACAGCTGCCTGTGTCCCACTGTTGCAATTTCAATAAACCGAATCAAATAAAGTTCTCTCTGTGCAGACGACCAACGGCTGTCCTGGAGTGAGCTGCTCGTTCTGCTCGGCTCAGAAACGGCACACTTCGTCAACGAGCAGGACGAAAACGGCGACGGATACGTCAGCTTCGGCGAGGCGCACCACCATATGGACCTGGACGATCTGTTCGACGACCTCGACGATAACGGTAGGTCTGAGTTTGAGTTTTATTTAGATCCACAATTAGCCTCATAAGAGGCTATTCTTCCCGTGGTCTACACATTACATTCATATTGTATACATACATGTATTACAACCGAATAGAAACGTACAAAAACATTACAAAGTTAACAGTATGCAGCAAACAGACGTACTTGTAGCATGAGTCAAAACTCCCATCCCAAAAGAAGAAACAAAAAGCAAAACGGGACACATGTAGCTAATTTTCACAGATAGCCGATTGTCTTTCTTCACTTGCTTTTGGTAACTGTTTACAGACAGCAACTACCTAGAGGATGGAGAAGGGGCCGGATTCTACACTGTGTGGGACGTAATCCTGGCATCAGGCAGCACTGGTGCATAAGGTGCCTGTTTTTACAATCTTTATTGTTCCGCTGCAGTACCATTACAAGCCGCAAGGGGACCCAAAATCTATTCATTGTGAGATCTCATCATGACTAACTTACTAACCAAATATCAGGACAATCTTTTTAAGTCTTCTTGAGTTATCGCGTTTACACACACACACACAGACACACACACACGCACACACTCACGCACACACTCACGCACACACACGAACGCCTCTGAAAATATAACCCTTTTGGCGAAGGTAAAAAAACGTCAAACGAGTACGACCATGTTGACCCTAATTTCGTTTTTTTGCCTTCCTTAAAAAGCCACTGGTGACTGGGTTTACTGTACTGATAAGGGATCAAATAAGTAATTCTTAGCTTGATTTTTTTTTTGCGAAAAGTGTTTCTACTTTTTCTGCATGTGTCGCCTTTGTAGATTTCAGATGTAGCTTTGGATACCTGATGTTATTGACTAGTCTCTATCAGGCTTCCGGAGGCGGCTGGAAAGAGTAGAAATCGGCCAAAATAGAGAGATAGCCTGCCAAGGGAGTTGGTCTGTTGGAGAGAACAGTTTGCCGCTCCCTCTTCAACAGGCCAACTCCCTTGGCATCAAATCTCTCTATTTGCCCGATTTCTAGTCTATCCAGCCTCCTCCCGAAGCCTGGTAGAGGCTGCTTATTGCCATTAATGTCCTTTTCCCTACAGCTGGACTTTTGGTGCCTCGACTGCAGATTCACCAGAGGCGACATCAAGGCAAAAATGAACATGGAAATGAAAATAAAATACAGTCAACACATGCAAAATAAAATTGTTCAACGATTTCAATGTTCTTCCATGCTTTTTGCGTCGTTTTAGTCTTACTTAACTTTATCAACATGGTTGTTAAGCGTCATGTGCTGTAGTTCTGCAATCTAAAAAAGTACTAGATACACACTCTATATATAATGAGAATGTATCATGAGCTCTTTCTAACGGAGACGAGATATTTTGTAATAGTTAATCATGGTTACGTGCAGTGAAATAAATCAGTAACTTCTTGTTCTATACGGCCAGTCTTTCCCTCCTGGCATCTGCTTGTTTACACACACACACACACACACACACACATATATATATATATAGATACACATACACACATACACACACACACATAGACAGACATACACACACACGCATAGACACACACACACACGCAGATACACACGCACGCACATACACCCCC